TGGAAAACTTCCATTTTTTGAATGTAGAGTTATCTAAAAGGAAATCGATAAAGGACCTAAATGGGTCACACAACAAAATGCTGACTAATAAGATAAGTCACTTTAAGTATTAATCAGATTAAGTTAAAGGGGACATTTCAGATACTTAAAGAATTTTCTGAAGCCCTTAAAATGAGTACTTTAACACAACCATTTTAGTAGCAACTGCTAAATTTACTAGTATGTTTCTTTAAAACTCTAAATAAGGGGGGGGGTTGTTTTGTGTCTATAAAAGGCTAGAAAGTAAATATTTTAGGCTGCAGAGACAAAGGAGGAAGTTCTTGACTAAAAAGAAAGAAAGGTTTGTACCTTTTTTTGGCTGATGAAATTCAAGATAAAATCACAATAGTTAAATACAATTTCTTGGTAGCAACATAGCTCTACTCATAAGAACTTAATTCTTTGAGGGAAACATCCCATACAGTTGGTATTCAAGTTAGTGTTTCCTATAACCAAACTGATTGCAAATGCTCATCTGGAAAACCAGTCTCAGAACCTGGCCCTAATAAACACTCCAGCAGGTACTTACTGGAAACAAAAACCCTATTACTCAAAGCTCTTAATTACCAAAGGTTCCCTGTTTAGTTCCTACAATACATTTGAGCATTAAAATCTTTAAATTTCCTAGTATAAAATGCCTAATCTTTGACCATCATTTCTAAGAAACAAGTTATCCTTCCTTGATTCTACACTGAAGTTTAAGCAAAAACAAAGATTACTAAATGCAGATGAAAGACTTAATCTCCTTCAAGAACCTTACAATCTAAGGATTCAAACTAGAAAGGAGTAAAAATATAAAAACATACAAATTTTTATCAGAAACAGAAACAGGAAATAATCAGGACAAAATAACTGAGAGTAGAAAATGAAATAAGGTTTAAAAAAAAAAAGGAAAGGTGGGAATTTAGCAATGTGAGGGGTAAGTCCCTAAGATTTCAACATGTTTAGCATTATTAATTTCATGTAAATGTTTACACTCTAGTTATTACTAAATTTACTTTCTAACTTAAATGTTACTTTAAAAAATACACCCATTTGACTCTAACCATTAATTAGTTTTTCTCTTACTTCTTTTGGACACCAGGTCTATGTCACCCAAGTTAGCACTGAATTACTGGATTCAAACACTCTTCATACCTCAAACCTCTCCAAAACATCTAGGGCTATAGGAACAGGACACCTGAGCCAGCTCTCTAAGCATTAATTTACAACTATATAACTTCACATTGATAAAAGCTTTTGCAAAAGTTACAGATGGTACTTTCAAGTGAGCTGTGTATCTCAACCTGGCCATGAGATCTAAAGGAGCCTTGTGGTGATGCTTGACTCCTAATGCTGCCAAGTTAAAAGAAATACTCAGTCTTTGCTGCAAGTAATAAAGATATTAAGCATTAATAAATATATTAATAATTAAAATATTTTAATGGCTAATAAAATTATCAACAGTCTTTTCTAAAAACCTCATTTTACTTAACTTAGAAAATCTAAAAACCAAGCAAATAAGATTCATAAACTTAGGTGGGCAGTAGTGGCACACACCTTTAATCCCAGCACTCGGGAGGCAAAGGCAGGCAGATCTCTGAAAGTTCAAGGCCAGCCTGGTCTATGAAGCGAGTTCTAAGACAGCCAGAACTGTTACACAGAGAAACTCTATCTTGAAAAAACAAACAAACAAAAAAAAAGAAAGAAGAAAGAAAAGAAAGATGATTCATAAACAAGGGAAGGTAATGATACTAAATATAAGCATTAAAAAAATAAAGAAAGAAAATAAAAATAAAAGCACCTTTTCTAAAAAACACCTTCTTTAGGGGGTGTCTGGGGCATTTTAAGAGTAGTAATATTTTATACTATAATACTATAGTATTTCTAGGAGAATGGAAAAGGTCCATTAGCTTTACTTTAAAATTTTCAAGTTCTCAGCAAAACACTTAAAGCCAAGCATTTTAATTACAAGTCTCCTTTGCCCCTTTGCTGTATTAGTAACTTGAACTGATACAGAAATTAGGCTACTGAGTTTTCGAAAAGAAACTTAAAAGATGTAAACAAGAGAACGGGAATCAATTTGGGTAAGAGATGCTCATTTCCCATTTACCTTTATTTTATTCTGTTTTATTTGTTTATTTTTCTTTTTATTTATTTTTTGGTGTTTTGATATAGTCTATATAGCCCTGTCTATCCTGGAACTCACTATGTAGACCAGGCTCAGAGACCCATTCTCTGCCTTCCTTGTGTTGAGATTAAAGACCTGCATCATGCCTGACTTTAAAACATTTTTATTATTTTATTTTTATGTGTACAGGTGTTTTCCCTGCATGTCTGTAGACCACGTGGGTGTCTGATGCCTGCTGAGGCTGGAAGAGGACATGAGACCACCTAGAACTGCAGTTAAAAATAGTTGTGAGCCACTATGTGGGTGCTGGAAATCAAACCTGAGTACTTACTTTTGCAAGAGAAGCCAGTGCTCTTACTGCTGAGCCAGCTCTCCAGCCCTTCCTCTTTACTTCTAATAACCCTCAAAGGCTTTCAGTCTAAACTGCTAGCTGACAAAAGGTTGAGGAGCTAGGGACGTAACTTAGTGGTAGAGCATTTTCTTGTGGCCCTGAATTCAATCTCCAGCACACAGAGTAAAGAAAAAGCACACAAACATGTAAGTCCCTTTTGGAAAAGCTCTCTAGGTTTTCTCATAACTCAAGACCAAATCTGAAATACTTTTAGTATATATACAACCCTCAAATTCTAAGCATTCTATCTGCATGTGTTGGTGCTAATACAAAATTTCCAGTAACTCCTAATTTCCATTTCCTTTCATTTCAAATGTGGCATTTTGGACACAGCAGTTTTAAATCAAAATTAAGCTGGAAGTCACAGATTTTCAGAAGTGGATGGCATCTTAAGTATCATTCAGTCTGAATCTTTAAGTGTGCCAAAAGCCAAGACAGTTCCCATCACCAACTAGAATGAGAATTGGAACTTGCGCTCTACACCAACTCTAACTCCAATGCCCTTCTGAACAAACTGCAATATACTCTTAAAATCAGTGTCACACTGAGCACTAGAAATTTCTATTTACTAACAACTAAGTATACAGAACCTTACTTTATTTCAGAACCCAAAAGTTTTAAAGAAAATTAAAGATATTGTCATACTATAGTAAATAGTACCAGAAATTTTCTAACAATTTAGTAAATATTCATATACAATTCTAAATCATTGTTTAAATAAGATGACTCAAATTTGTAATGTTTAGTTAGAAGGAATTCCATTATATTTACTATCATCCCAGTAAGGATCTTAATGTAGTGTGAAAGCTTAAAACTTGGAATCAGGACTGTAATACAGTTCATTGTCATACCTCATAGCTCTCAACTCCTGCTGAAGGGTCAAAAATCACAACTATCTTGCTTCTAACTGTGAAATCTTAGAAGAAACTCATTATTCTATTTATTGTAGAGATGAAGAAACTAGCCTTCAGAGAAATAAATTACCCCCAAATCTGAGCTAATTAAAGCAGCAGAGCTCAGGATTTGAGTGCTACAGGGCACAGATGGGAACAGAAGTGTTTCATGTGTGAAGGGTTTGTTTTTGTTTTTTAACATTCTGGAATATTTGATTGGTCTTCTCCAGTTAAGCACACCTAATCTGGAAGTCTACAATCCAAAATATTCTGAGATCAAAACTTTTCTAGTGCCCAACCTGGCCAGCCCGGAGCTTTACATTTTGGTGCATTTTGGGTTACACTTGCAGGGCTGGATAAAAACAGGAAGACAAAAATATATGTCGAAAACATTTGCTGTGAACTTGCTCTTGTCAACACACTGAAAATAATTCTAAGTAAAAGATTTTAAAATTACACTCTAGCTACTATTCTTACTGTCATGAACACTAAAGCACTGTGCCATTAAAAAATGTAACAACCTTGCTTCGGCGTTAATATTGTAAAGTAAGCTGGAGAAGGGTTAACAACACTCCCTAGCTAAAATGACTGGAGAAATTCAATTAAATCACCTACATGTAATCTGTATTTTTAAAATATTACTCAAAAATTATGTACACGGCAGAACAGAAGAAAGCAGGGTTACTCAACATCACTCTTGGCCCTTTCACACAGATCAAAACTCCCTAAAATATGAAAGAGGTCCTGTAGATGTCTAATACTGTACTGCACACAGTACTTACATTCTGTTATCAACCAATCTTCACCACTGCGGATGGATAAAGATGCAGTGATTGTTGCACAGGCACAAATCAAAATGTTTCCCCCAGTTGAGTGTTTCTATCATGTCTTAAGTAAAATATTCAATGAAAACAATGCCAGTGAAATTTTTTTTATAGCTAAACCCCAACTTATTCCGTGTGGAGTCACTGATATGCACAGTTAAAAAAAAATCAAGCAGGGAGAACTGGGGCGAATGTGGAGCATAATTAGAAATGAATACTGCCTAAAAGCAAGCCAGAAGTTTCATGCTTTTACTAGATCATGGCCAACAACTAAAACGATCTAATGAGCTCAAAATGAAAGCTACTGTGTGTGCCCTGTAACATGTGACAAATTTCTTCACAGAACAATCAATACCTCTATGACTTCTGGTCTTTTACCCAACAACGACCAATTTGTTAGTCTCGGTGTCCCGGAATAATCCCTACGCAAATAACAACAGTATGACCCTGTGAGCTGCCTCGGAGTTATATCTAAATCTAACTTTTTTCTTCTCTTCTCTCCTAGAAGAACAGACGGGCCCGCTAACCCTCAGAGAACCACACAAACTGCCCAATACATAAGTCCTGTCCACCTGACACTCATTCTGCTCCCAGCCATGTAAACCGACAGCCAAAAAGGAAGCTAGACGCTCAAACTGCAAACTCAGAAAACCCGCAAAAGAAACCGAGAAGGCACCGGAGGGCGGGGCCCGCCTGTCACCTTCGGGGAGCCGGGGGAGGCCCCCGCCACGCCCCTCCCTCACCTCGATCTCACGGATGTTGTTGGAGGTGACGAAGATGCCGATGCCAATGGGGATGAAGATGAGGCCGATGATGAAGAAGGTGGGCAGCACCGTGCCGGCCGTGAGGATGGGCTGCCAGGCGGGCAGCCGTTGCTGTTTGAAGGCCGTGTTATCCGGCCTCCGGGTCTTGGCAGCGCCCCCAGGAGGGCACGGGGGCCCGCCGTCCACCTCATCCTTCGCGTTATAGTTCATCGCCATCGGCCCCCGGGCTTCGGCTCGGCCACGTCCAGCTGGGCCGCCCAGGGGACCAGCCTGCCGACTCTATGACAGGAGACGCGCAGGCGCCGCTGCCGCTACTGCCTCCTCCACCCGCGCCGCCACCGGGGAGGCGGAAGAGGCGGGACACGCTTCTGCAGACCGCCTCTGACCGGAAGCGGGAGTAGTCTTTAGGAGACGCCCCAGGGAGGGAGAGAGAGGAAGATTAAGGGACGAGGGGAGGGGAGGGGGAGGAAGATGGAAGGGGGAGGGAAAAGGCGGACGCACCCTGATCATCTGTCCTGTGACGACAAAGTGAGGGGCTTAGGCCCGGCGCGCGACGACGTGAGCGCATGCGCGGCCCTGGGCGCCGCCGCGGCGCCTGCGCGCTGGGACGCGAGCCTCTTCGCTGCCCCAGAGAGGACGCTTTCTGTTTGCTCACACTTCCTGTCGTAGTTATCATGGAGACTGAGGTCGAGGAGTCGGGTCGGAGTCGGCGACCTGTATAATTTCGGCGCTGGGTTGTTTTTTTTTTGTTGTTTTTTTTTAAGGCTACGCCTCCTCTGAAGGGAATTGTGGCGTTCCAGAGTCCACATGTTTAAAAGAATGCGGGTCTCCATTGAGTTTTAACTCGCCACTCAAGGTGCGGCTGAGGATTTAAGGGAGGTGACATGTGACCCTTTGACCTAAAAAATTAATAACGTGACCTAGTTTAGCCCTAATCCCTTGCTTCCGAGCGATTCTCACTTATTTTTTTCTCCCATCAATGATCTCTATCTTACTGCACACTGATTTAGGAAGTTTATTGTAAACATTGTAGAGATTTTCTTAACTCGATTACTAAAAACCAGAACGTAATGCCACTTGTTTAAAATGAGGTATTACATACTTGAACCTGCCAAGGAAATACTCATAACGAGACGAAGCTATAATCCAAGCAGTCGAAGTAATACGAGGCTGACCCTGTATAGAAAATAGAAGGCCAGCCTGAGCTACATAGGAAATCCATAGGGAGATCTATCAACAAATAATAATAGTAGGTGAGAAACCCAAAGACAACAAAGCAGTAAAGAGACCACAGAAGTGTAAAACCCAAGTACAAAGCCTAAGATGCTAACCTCCACTGGTTGACTGGAGGCTGGATTTTTGTTTCTTTTTGCTTTTCTATATTATGCAAACTTTCTCTTATAAGCATGTAAATTTACAAAAATAATTATGTAACATGTACATTATTCAATTATGTTTGAAATTCAGACCATCTGACCACAAATACCCACTTTTTAAAGGCTTTGTCTACAGTTTTGCCTTTTGCTTGGTTCTTATAATTTAGAATTAAGTCTTTTCAAAAGACCAGAAGCGTTCAAATAAAATATCTTGGTGCCTTCTAATAACTGACTTGCTAGGGTATGCTCTTCTGTCTGTGATTTCTCAAATTCTTAGTGCCCCTGAGATCCTTAGGTCCATATCTTGCGTTGGCAGCCTAAGTTTCCCTTCAAGCTCAAAAGGAAAACAGTCTGCCATAGTAGTAGAGAGGCATATCCTTTTACCTTTATAAGTTCTGATGATTAGTAAAATGTTCATCACAGTGTTGAGGGTAATCCTGAAATCTTTTTTTCCCCTCCCCACTCTTGTTTAGATCATCACACAGTGAAATGTGTTAGTTCCTTTAACTGGTTTTACTAACTCTAGTTTTTAGGAGTTTTACTACTATCATCAACCCTACAACCTACAATGGAAAATATTCAGGGAAAAAATTGCTTCTGTGCTAATAAACATAGGAACAGATTCCCACCATTGTCCTTTAAGTGGATGTCCATTGTTTTGGATATTATAAATAGTATACTCTCGAGAGGGTTTAAAGTGTGTGGAGGATGGTCACAGGTCATTTACAAGAGCTACACGGTTTTGTGTAGGAGAGTTGAGCATCTGAGATTTATATCCACAAGTTCCAGGAACCTCCCTTGGATGCTGCAGGGCATCTTTGCTTTAAAGCTTTGTTTCTATTGTTGTTATAGTAGTAGTGATCTGATTGTTCCTGGTGTGCTTATCTGCTCCCTCTCCCCTTTGTTTCTCTTAGAAGAGATTAACTCTTTGTCTCTTTTTTATTAAAAACTTCACGGGTGGCCAGGTGATGGTGGTGATGGGTGGTGGTGGTGCACACAGATCTCTGAGAATTCAAGGCCAGCCTGGTCTACATAATGAGTTCCAGGACAGCCAGAGCTACAAAGCTAGACCTTGTCTCAAAAAACACTTTTTAAAAAAGTGGGATTTATGTGACATTTCTTAAAGCTGTCAGATCAACATAGTAAGTACAATGCATGTATGAGTCTAAGCATAAAAATAAAGCTGAAATGGTAGACTATATGAAAACCCTACAATCTGAAAAGTTAGTTTAGCTTTTGAAATGTGAGTTTTATATAGTTTTCACCTTTGAATTCAATTACTGCATTATGCCTCTAAGTCAGAAGGAAAAAAATTGTAGAAGAATAACAGCTTAATTTTGCCTAGGAAAGTTTAAGAGGATGAGTGCCACTGTTCTTAGAACATACGTTTCCGAGAAAGCACCCCCCTCCCCACACGGTTTTTCTCTGTAGCCCTTGATGTCCTAGAACTTGCCTTGTAGACCAGGCTGACCTATAACTCAGAGATCTACCTGTCTCTGACTCTGAAGTGCTGGGATCAAAGGCGTGTGCCACCACCACCAGCTCAGAAAAAGTCTTACTGACTAAGAAATAATTTGAATACTTTTCAGTGTCTTCTTGCTCCACTTTCAGTTAAGCATAGCTGCCTAGAGACGTTGGTAGGACTAATTAATTTTGAAAGTATCCCTGATGGTTTTTAGGAGGGTGATGAAGACTTCTTGTGATGCATTTAATTTCCTATATTTATTATACCAGAGATTCATCCAATCTGAGTTTGAAAAAATACTTTTAAAAATTAGTCTTTTCTTAGCCAGGTGGTGCACACCTTTAATCCCAGCGCTTGGGAGGCAGAGGCAGGCAGATCTCTGAGTTGAAGGCCAGCCTGGTCTACAGAGTGAGTTCCAGAACAGTCAGGGCTACACAGAAAGACCTGTGCAGAAATACAATAATTTCTGTAGCTGGCCATAATGATGCACACCCATAACCCCAGCACTTAAGAGGTGGAGGCAAGAGAATCAAGGCCAGCACTGACTACGTGAGATCCTACCTCAAAAATAAGAACAAAAACAAACAACGTTTTCCTGATTTTTGTGGAGTGTGTTTATTGAATGAACTCTTAGATGTTTAAGAACCCTTTTGTTCACACTGAGGGGCTGTCTGATTGGCTTGGTCACTGCTGTTGCAGACTCTTGCATAACCAGTCGGCAATCAGAAATACTAGTTAAACAAGATAGTTTTATTGTGAGTCATTTAAAGAAAGGACAATGATACCAAATTTCAGAAATTTGAGTAGGCAGCCTACAAACTTAAAGAGTCAGGTTTCATTTCTCACTCTAAGTGAAAGAGTACCCAGAGAGACCACAGAATTCACAACTTCCATTGTTCATGATCTCTCAGTTGATTACATTCCCAACAGGTATCAATTATAGACAAAAGCTTATCTTAAAATACAGTGCCATCTCTAGGTTGACAGCCAGCTGACATCTGTTACAGCTATAACAGAGAAATTAATTATTTAAAGGCAAGTGGGATAGAAAAGGAAAGAGGCTTAGCTTATTCCACAAAAACCATAGAGGTAGAAAAAGCCTTACCTTTAAAAATGTTCTTTCATGTGAGCAGACCATTTTTAGACTTAAACTTACATTTTTTTTCCATTTGGACAAGTTTTAAATTGTTAGAAGTCCTAACAGTGGGAGGCACATTTATTTTTTCAAAACCTTGAGTCACTGCTACCTATGAAGTTAGCTACTGCTTGAAAACAACTCCAACTCTATCTGAGCTCAAGGAGACTTACACCTACCTCCACTCCTGCATTTGTCTGGTACTGAAGGGTATCTGCTTACATCTATCTGGCTTACTAGATATAAACTCAAGGCCAGAGACTATTTATTCATTTCTAAAGGCCCAACACTTCACAAAAGGCCTGGGACATAAAACATACTCAGTAAGTCTGGAGCTTACCTGGAAACTCTCAGTGAATTCACATTTCAGTGGAAGAGATTACTTGCCAACAGACAATGGAAAGAATGAGCTCTTGGCTCTATGAGTCTACAGGTGGTTGTAGGAGGCCCCTTTATGATGTCAAACACTAAGCTGTACAGAAGGGAGTCCTCATTCAAGAGAAAATAGAATAATAACCAAAAAAAAGCCTTATGCTATATGCTTTGCTAATACTCTGTATTATCCTGGGTGATCAAGTTGTTCTCAAGCAAGGTTTTATATCACCATGGAAACAGATGTCCCTAATGCTCTGAATTTGGGTGAGATACCTGTTTTGTTAACTGTGGTGGTTTGAGTGAGAGTGACCCCCATGGGCTCATATGTTTGAATGCTTGGTCACCAGGGAGTAGAACTGTGGGAAAGGATTATGAGGTGTGGCCTCCTTTGAGTAACTGTGGGCTTGATGGAGGAGGTATGTTACTGGGAGTGAGCTTTTAAAATCCCACACCAGGCCGGGCGGTGGTGGCGCACGCCTTTAATCCCAGCACTCGGGAGGCAGAGCCAGGCGGATCTCTGTGAGTTCGAGGCCAGCCTGGACTACCAAGTGAGTTCCAGGAAAGGCGCAAAGCTACACAGAGAAACCCTGTCTCGAAAAACCAAAACAAAAAAAAAAAAAAAAAAAAAATCCCACACCAGGCCCAGTCTCTCTGTGGATCAGGATATAGCTCTTAGCTACTTCTCCAGCACCATCCCTGCCTGTGTGCTACCATGCAAATGCTTTCTTTTATAAGAGTTGCCTTCGTCATGGTGTCTCTTCATAGCAATAGGACAGTAACTTATACAGTTCATTTGTCCCACTCTCTACTGGAACCAATTTTGAGGGTTAGAAGGATATCATTGGGTGCCTACATAAGGAACTTGAATGAACTTATGGCTTCCTGCAAAGGACGTGAAAGAACTATGCACAAAGAGCAAAAGGGGAGGTAAAGGAAGCAGAGAAAAAGTGGGAGAGGAGAGGAGAGAGAGCAAACATGGTTGTGGTCAAGGGAGAATATTTGAAAATTGGGGAGAAGACCAGGAACTTGAGGGAAAGGTAGGCAAGGCCTCATTCTAGCAGGGATTGGCATTTAAAAACATTCATCCAAAGAGCTGGGTGTAGCTCAGTGGTATAGCACATGTTAAATATGTATGAGACCCAGGTTCAGTCTCTACACATTAAAAAGAAAAATGTATCCGGTATCTTGTATAAGCAATAGACGCTGCTGGAGCTCTGTGTCCAGTTTCTTGAATTCACTGTAGGGAATATGCAAGGCTTTTAAGAAGTGCATCAACTGGGCATAGATCTGTACAAATAACAGTTGCTATAGCTTCAGTCTGCAATGTCCCCCAAAGTCCAATTTATTGAAGGCTTGCTCTCAGTTCATGGTATTGCTGGGGTGGGGATAGTAAAACCATAAAAGGTGGAGCCTAGGGAGGAAATTATAGCAATAAGGGTGTCCTGGGAGTGCTATTGCTGTGACAAAACACCATGACCAAGGCAACTTATGAAAGGAAGCACTTAGCTGGGGGCTTGCTTACAGTTTCAGAGGGCGAGTCCATAATCATCAGGCAGGCAGGCAGGCAGGCAGGCAGGCATGGCTCTGGAACTGTAGCTGAGAGCTCACATCAGAACTGCAAACTGCAGGAAGAGCAAGAGACTAGGCTTGGTGTGGCCTTTTCAAAGCCCAACACCAATGGCATACCTCCTCCAAGGCCACACCTCCTCCAACAAGGCCACCCCTCTTACTCCTTCCTAAGAGTCCACCATCTGGGAACCAAGCATTCAAACACAGGAGCCTATGGGGGCCATTCTCATTCAAACCACGACAGAGGGACAAGTACTTGAAGGGGATACAGAGATTTTGTTCCCTTCCAGTATTTCTGTTTGCTTCCAGGCTACTGTACAGTGAAAAGGCATCCTCTACAGCAGACTCTCACCATGATGCACTGTATGCAACAGAGGCATGCACCATGGACTGACCTCTGAAAGTGTGAACCAGTGGGAACTCTGACCTTATCAGTTGACTTCATGGGCATTTTAATCACAGAAGCAAGGAACTGACACACCATTCAATCTAAGGGAGATTTTAAAACAAAGGTTTCTGAAGACAAGGAAAAATGTTTTATTCCTCTTAGAGATTGTGATTCTCTCTAAAAGAAATACGGTGACACCAGGAAAAAAACCAAGGAATAATTGGTTGACTTTAAGGCGGGGGGGGGGGGGGGGGGGGGGGGGGGGGGGGGGGGGGGGGCTCAGTGGTTAAGAGCACTGACTGCTCTTCTAGAGAACCCTGGTTCAACTCCTAGCACCCACATGACAGCTCACAACTGTCTGTCACTCCATTTCCTGGGGACCTGAAACCCATGGCAAAACACTAATGCACAATAAAAGAGAGAGAGAGAGAGAAGAGGGGAGAACAAATCATCTTTGAAATCTAGTTTCTAGACTTCCGTACTTTCCTCATAGATCACGTTACTGTACCTAGAACAAGAAGTTGCCTTGAGTGGTTTACTTGAAGAGAATGTCTCTGTATTTGACATCTTTCATGGATGCCTCAGCAAAGTTTTTAGTTCCAAAGTAGACAATGTACCCTGTTGCCAAAGAAGCCTGGGATGAAGGGGCTGTCTTCGACATGGTCACTAGCCTGGAGTTCTGAGGTTAGTAAGTTCATTTAAATGTAGTTTATTGCCTGGGGCATTTTCTCTTGTAAAATCCAAATTAATAATGAGTTTTTCAGTCAGTGTTCTTCAACCACGGTGCACCCAGAGCTTCTCTTCTTCATGCTTTTGATTGCCCAAGATCACCCATGATAGATAGGACACACTAGCACCTGCAATTTGTATACAGGAAGGATTTTGGCTTTTGTTTTGTTTTGTTTTGATTTTTCAAGACAGGGTTTCTCTGTGTAGCATTGCGCCTTTCCTGGATCTCGCTCTGTAGACCAGGCTGGCCTCGACCTCACAAGGATCCACCTGGCTCTGCCTCCCAAGTGCTGGGATTAAAGCTGTGTGCCACCACTGCCCGGCGGATTTTGGCTTTTTTAAAAGGTTCTTTTTACATTTATTTATTCTGCGTACATTCACGTATCTCTTTATGTATGTGTGGGAGCACCTGTGCCACAGTGTGCATGTGGAAATCAGAGAACAAATTCCACCATGTGTGAGTCCCAGTGATTGAACTCAGACTGTCAGACTTGGCAGCAGTATCCTTTCTGGTCTTGTTGGCCTGTTGCTTCTTTGCTAGGTACATCTCTAACTAATAAACAAGAAAAACTCATTCCTTTATTCCAAGTAAGGCAAAGGTGAGTTAGGACTGGCTTTGATTATGGGCCACCATCTCTGTCACCGAGCTGATAAAAGGTTACGCATAACCCCCTTCAGTCCCATCCCTCTTTACAGAAACCATCCCCAATTTGCCATTACCCAGCATGCCTGTCAACAGAGCCTTGGACAGGTTTGCTCTACCGAGGAATCTGCCTTTAGATTAACAATAGAAAGACTAGTAGACTAACTAGTACGTGAACACTGACTGACACAGCGTTTGGTGATGGTGGAGGAGCAAGAGGACCCTTTTAGCCAGTTCCTTGTCTTAAAAATCTTACAATTTTTATTTTACCAAAGAATCAAAACTACAGTGTAACTAGGAAGAATATCCTTTGTTTTGACAGTCCTGCTCTGCTACATCTACACAGCCATAGTGAAATACACTAAGGAAGTGTGAAATGTGGAGCTAAAAAAAAAATGTTTTGAATAAAAGAAAGTTGTGGAGCTGGAGAAATGGCTCAGTGGTTAGGAGCACTTGCTGCTCTTGTGGGGAACCCAGGTTTGGTGCCCAGCACCCATGTCAGGTGAATCAAGACTACCAGTAACTCCAGTCCCAGTGAGCCCAATGCCCTCTTCTGGCCTCTTGGGTTACTGCATGCACATGATGCATATATATGTGTGTGTATACACACACACACACACACACACACACACACACACACACACACACACGGGCACATTACACATATACATGCACATACACATACACATAAAATAATAAGTAAATTGTTAAAAAGTTGTAAATTTATTTTAAATTGTTCTAATTTTATGAATATTATGCTCTTATGTAAAAAGGATATTGCACAATGCTTTCATATTTCATTGTCATTTTTTCATACTCTGGTGAGATTTCCAGAAACGTATTTGATTTTTGAAAGTAACATAGAGAATGTCTTAATTTTAATTTCAATCACCTATAAAGAGCTGAAAACAGGGTATTACATTCATATAAAAGACAAGTACATAAAATCATATGGCTTCAGTGTGAAATAATAAACGTATGTACTTAATAGAACTTAAAGAAGGCAAAATTAAGAATGATAGAAAAATAGAATGTATTTCTAAAAGCCTTCCAAAATATACTCTGGCTTTTGAAAACTCTGTTAAAACTTGAAGAATTCTAAGACTGACTGATCACATTATACATTTATTATATTGAAGAAACAAATGCTTTATGTTCTTTTTTTAAAATTAGATTAAAAATTCAAATTTGCACTGGTAAAGTAACAAAATATATTAGATGATAAGGTGAAATTCTCCCAAATAACATGAGCCAAAAAAAAAAATGCCTGTATCACACCATGGCATCCATAAACATACCTGTCCAAAATTTGTGAAACTATTATATTTTCCATAAACAACAGTTATTATGTAGTTATGAAGTAAATACTAAAAATTTAAGAAACAAATATTAATGGTCAGAAAACTTCTGATTTTTATGTTTATTACAGTTATTTTTATTTTTTCTCCTCTTTGCCTTCTAATTGGTTTTTTTTTATCACTGGTTTAGCAGTAGGGGTAAGAGGGTGTGAGCCTCAGGTACCAAGGATGATGTTGTTTCATTTTGTACTTGTCATTTTTAGATGTGTTGCTCAAGCAATTTGAGAACACACTCAGCTTCCTCCATGTTTTTTTTTCCTGTATTTCCAGAAAAGTTCAACCATGGCATTAGATAAAAACATCACATGCCTAATAAACCATTTACTCTTGCGTTGCCTCTGACTTTTATAAGCTCTACATTATTTCAGTAGTGTCTGTGTTGGTGTTAGATATCCCACATCATGATTTCTTAATAGTTGTCTTAAGACTCAACAAATTCATGTTTTATGTACATTCTGGGCATCAGCATCCTGTGCATATATACTCTATCCACTATCTGCTCAATACTTTATGAACTCTTGAAAAAAAGTGCAGAAGATATGAAAACCAAAATCAAATAAACGAAAACAGTTACCAAGAGGAAAGATAAAGCCAGCATTGTGACTTATCCTTGTAATGCTAACACTCAGGTGACTGAGGCAGGAGGATCACAAGTTCAAGCCTAACCTCAGCTATGTAGTGTGTTTGAGGACAGCCTGGGCTAGATAGTGAAACTCTGTCTCAAAAAACAAGTGTAAAGGCTGGGCATTGAATCGGACACCTTTATTCCCAGCACTCAGGAAACAGAGAGAGGCAGATCTCTGTGAATTCTACATAGCGAGTTCCAGGCCAACCAGGGATACATAGGGAGACCCTGCCTTCAAAACAAAACAAAATAACAATAAATCAAGCATAAAACAAATTGACTAGTTCAATTGTGACTTGAACATGAAATACTGATTACACTCCGGGAAACATCCAAATTATTCCATCCAAAAATTAGTCTCATTCAAATTGATGAAGACATATTTACAGTAAAAGAAATTGAAGTTGTACAATGTAATCCAGGTTAGCGCCAGACTTGCTTGTGATGGCAACTTTTACAACTAGACAAGTTGCTAAGATGTGATTGTGATCTTGTTAATATTCTCTCTTTTTTTTTCAAATATAATGTGTTCATTTTACTTAACTGTCATTCATGTTTAACCAAAGAAATTCATGGTAAGGTAGACAGAAAAACCTCAGCGTCTACCCAGATGACTGGTTGCAACATGATCCCCACTGTCTTTGCAAAACACCAAAAATCATTACAACTCTGGTGAGAAGAACCCATCAAGTACGAATACACACACTGGTGATGTTTTAATTCAAAGCAAATAATTAAGCTTCAGGCAACTGCGCCACCTAAAAACTTTACTTCCCTGTCAATATAAAAATACTAAATAAAGCCGGGCAGTGGTGGCGCACGCCTTTAATCCCAGCACTCGGGAGGCAGAGGCAGGCGGATCTCTGTGAGTTCGAGACCAGCCTGGTCTACAGAGTAAGATCCAGGATAATCAGAGCTACACAGAGAAATCCTGTCTTGAAAAACCAAAAACCAACTAACCAAACAAACAAAAAACTAAATAAAATGAGAACTGTTTTGTGATTGAAAATGTCACTACATTTTAAGAAAACAAAACAACACTTTTAAAAATCTTCTCACACACACACATCCCCCAGGCTTCTGGGTCAGTAATCAAAACCACAGAAGGTTATGTGAGACCTCCAGAGTCATTCAAGCTTGGGTAAGCCTAACATAACATTTATCTGACTTTTAACAAAGCAAGAATAGTTTTTAGAAGATATAGTTATTTCATTTACAGTATATATTGACTATGATTTGTCAGTTCCACAGATTACATTAAAACCTAGGTTACATAAGGGAGGAAATGTCGCATTGTGTTTCCCATTCCAGAGACTCTGTGGCTGATGTGGGTACAGCTTGTGGACTATAGTAGTGAGCTTGCAGAACTTAACTTGGGTGATTTTACTTACCTCATAACATTCAGAAGAAGCATTGGCTCTTCATTCACACTTAAGTAGTATGATAAATGACTTCTGCATTTAGAAACTAAACTGTCAACCTTTAATTTATCTTTAAAGTTATTTTAAAGATCTTATTGGAAACATTCCCACCCCCATCGGCAGTATTTTTTTTTTTTTAAAGTAGAGTTTCAAGTAGACTTCACATTTTCACGTAAACCTAAATTCAACAGCAGCTCTGACATCGAGACTTGAGTAATACAGTTTGGGCTTTTAATTCTTTAAAAACATACTCTTTACACAATGGCACATGTCTTTAGTCCCAGCACCTGTGAGAGGCACAGACAGGCAGATCCCTTGAGGTCAAGGCCAGCCTAGTCTACCCAGCCAGTTTTAGGCCAGCTGGGGATATATAGCAAGAACCTGTACCAAGAAGAATAGTAATAGTAGGAGTCGTTCTCCGCAACCTACATGGAGTTGTGAAAGTCAGTGAAAATCAGAGGGAAGTGATTATCTGCATTTGAGTCTCCCTATTTTTTTGAAAAAAAAAAAAAAGGTTGACATTTTCTAGGTTCATTTTTATTTGTAACCTTTTGTGGGGGTAGAAGTAATATGTGGGAAGCACCCTAACATCACAGTCACTATTATGTTTTGTATACATAATAATAATGCAGATAGAAATAAAGTTGAACCGCCAGCCAAAGCTGTTTGTTTCCCATACAGAACACAAGCAGGAGACACAAATTGGCTTTAAGTACTTAAACTCCTAAGCCAGAACACTGTTTTCAGTGTTGAACCACAATCGGGACCACAGCATCATATGAGTAAGAAGACCCCACGAATCTACTGTTTGTAGGTTTTACCTCTTAAAGTTGCCCAGGGAAATAGAGTGTTGTGCTTTTTCTTCCTTAAAAATAACAAATTAATAAAAAGAAAAGGATACATTAACCTCTTAAATACACAATATCAATACTTTGAAGAACTGACAGTGTAATCTACAGATATATGTGCCACAGACTATGAGAAAAGAAACAATTTAGGGAAAGAAATCACATTACAAAATGTATTATAAAAATAAATTACACAGCATGTGCCCACAGACCTGAAAGCTTTGCAAAGAGAAGAAAACTTTCTTTGGCACAAAGACTCAATTGCTTTTGCTACATTTGTTCATATCATCCACAATGTGGTTTTTAACTGTTAAATTGTATCCTCAAAACAAAATCACTGGAAGTCATAGGGTGTTTCCAGTCAACATCAGTAGCATGGAGGACCTTAGTGATGACTGAGGGCTGTGCTTGGTAATCTCATCTGGAGCTCATTCGCAACTGGTGAATGATGATGCTTTCTATAAAGAGAAGAAAGACACGGCATTTTCAATTAAACTCAAGTCAGTAGTTGATGTGAAGACCAGTACCACACCATTCCAATCAAAGACTGTAAATGTTAAACAACAAAACAAAAAAGCAGGTACATGAGGCCAATACCAACAGCTCTGCAGACTTCGCTATTTGGGATAAAGAAATTACATGTGTGTTTTACTTCCAAAATAAAGCTCTACAGAAACCATGTCTAGTATTTTGTATTAGGTTGGTCTTACTCAATGAAAGAGCTAAACATATAGTCATTACTATATACGAGTGGCATAATGGGAAAATACTTGTCCTGCCACTGTTCTCCCAGATGAACACTCTCTGTTCTGAACAATGCCCGAGTGCTGGGATTAAAGGCGTGCGCCACCGCCGCTCAGCTACCTCCTTTTTTCAGTGCGTGTGGATTGGATGTTAATGAGGACACAGTCCCTTCGTGTCCCACAGAAGTCAAGAGACAATTTCCTCTCTGACTACTGCTTTTGCATAACTGGTTAATGCCTTTTTAATATCTGAATCTCTTCTCTTTGGCTAGTCACCTTACTTATTAGAGTGTGAGTGTGAGTGTGTGTGGTGCATGCACACCTGTGGCGGCGTTCAGAGGACAGCTTTTAGGACTTGGTTACCTCCCTTCACCATGTAGGTCCCAGGAACTAAACCCAGGTTGTCAGGCTTGCCAACAGACCTCTCTCCTCACTGAGCCACCCCACTGGCCCCGTAAATGCATCCATGTTTTGTTTATTTGTTTGTCTGGGTCGCTTTTGTTTTGTTTTGTTTTTGTTTTGTTTTTCGAGACAGGGTTTCTCTGTGTAACAAGTCCTGGCTGTCCCGGAACTCACTTTGTAGACCAGGCTGGCCTTGAACTCGCAGAGATCCACCTGCCTCTGCCTCCCACCGCCTGGCATTCATTCATGTTTTTTAAAACAATTTTTTACATTCATTTATTTGGTATGTGTAGGTGAGTGTGCGTGTGGAGGTCAGTGGATGACTTGTAGGCATTGGTTCTCTCCCTACACTATATGGATCCCAGGGATGGAGCTCTGGCTTGGCAACATGTGCCTTTACCCACTGGGCCATCCCTCCTGCCCTCTTCAGTCTTATGATAAATTTCAAAGGTGACTCGGTAATGAAAAGAGTCCAGCCACGTTACAAACATTTAGTATCACACTGTTTGATTGGTTTTCCTTTTGTATTAGTTTATGCTCTCATAAGCTTGTGTCATCACATTTTTCATTCAGTCATTTTGAAACGATGTACTGAGGTAGTAGACCGTAGTGGGAACGGAGCTAGCTTGGTGAGAAGACACAGTCCTGTAGTCACTGAGATTATGCAAAGCAGAAGAAAGAAAATGACTCCACCTGAAACCTTCACCTCACTGTCAACCTATGGCAATGATGTAAGTGCAGAAACACACCAGGATTTGCCACCATGAAGAGCGGCTGTGGCGTTGCTCAACTGTAGCATGCTTGCCTAGCACGTGAAAGGCTCTGAGTTCCTTCCTCCACAACTTACTCCATCCCCACCCCATCCCCCAAAGAAATAGTATTTCCACCTATTATTTTCACTTTAATTACAAATGCACACCATTACAACTTTATTTTACTTTGGTAGTTAATATTTAGGTAGCCATTAACTAAATTGCATTACATCATAAACCTACCTACAGGTTCACGCTAACTGCGTGGTGGGTGATCCTCTGCAGAAAATGCTTTTGAATTTTGGTTTCATTAGCTGCCTCATGGAGGCCACTAGGTGGAGATATTTTCATTCCCCTTTTCAGCCTTTTGGCTTGAGTTTGGGTTTAAACAAAACAAAGTTTAAATGAAGAACATAAATGCCTTATACTTAAGACATTTGAGGGCTTTGCACAGCTTAAAAAAATACATGCAAAAATAAATATATATAGTTTTCTCTAGACCTAAAACACTTTTAAAAACTCTAAAAATGGATCCATCTTCAAGCCAGAAAAGTAAAAGCAGTTACTAAGATACTATGTAAAAATCATCATCTAAGATTAAAATACTATTTCCTACTCACTGCTTTAAAAAAAATCATGTAGTATGCACCAAGGAATCTTCAAAAGACCTACATCACAAATCCTACTTCCAGAATGTAAGCATCTTCCCATTTCCTTCCTTAAGGAAATGTCAGAGAGGAATCCAGAATCATTGTTAGTGTGGATATAACTCAGAATGCTTGTTCTCATTGAGGATAAACAATAAAGGTACCAGAAATCATTGTAAGTTCCCCTGTATGGCTAACATTTTCGGCTTTTACACCTTTCCAAGTGTGCAAGCCTCTTTATGCCTAGAGTCGCCTTCTCTTGACATTTTACAATCTGCACAACAATGACTTTAGAATTCACATTTGGTGAAGGGTTGGTTGCCTGAGGGTTTTCACAGAAGAAACAATACCATGGTCTCACTATTTGGCTTCATTAGTACATGTAAATTAACAAACTGACAACCAATATGTAAATGTGTGTATTTATAGTAGACTTTCAGAAATACTTGATATTTCCAAACAACAGGTTGTTGTATATAAATTGTACCTTCATAATAAAGGATGTCTAATATCTGTAATTGCTTATGATATGTTTTCCTCAAATCTCAAATGAACTCAAATAAGAATCACTCATCTGACACCTGAAATTGTGAGAAATAAATATTGTACAGCATAAGGTTTTGAAGTTGTTCATTAAATAGTTTTTTTTTTTTTTTAATTGTTGAGAGGCCAGCAAGATTGCTCAGGGAGATGACTCCAGCTTAATGGCTTGAGCTTGATCCCCAGGACCCACATGGGAGAGAGAATGGACTCTTGTAAGTTGTCCCCTTTCCAAGTTATATATTCTATGTCACAAGTGCGCACACACGCACACGTGCGTGGGCACACACACACACACACACACACACTCACACAGAATGAGGGAGGGAGAGGAATAAATAAATACATAAATCTTGTTTAAATTTTTGTTGTTGTTGATGATGATAACAAAGTTGGCAAATGTTTTTGCACGTCTTAGAAAGTTTTCATTGTATCCCAGAAGAGGACCCAAGCCTCAGTCCCCTGGGGTCTCTAAGGAGAGGTTAGAGGTTATTATGACCAGGCATGATTCTGTAACAAGTTTCTCTTTCTATAAACACATCTTTGTGACACTTACAATTTGTAAAGTACTTAATAAACAATAAAGACCAATAATCATAGTTAATTACCCACTTATTGGCAAACAAAATAACAAAAACACTTGGACTTGGGAGTTTTTAATACCCAGGCACTAATTGGCATAATTTTCTTTTCCTTTTTTTTCTAATTGAAAGAAAAAAATCTTTAAATTGTGAATGTTATATGCATATGGAGTACACTGGATTTTTATATACTTTTGACAAGAATTTACCAAAATTCAAACTTTCCATTTCTTTCACTTGTTATCATGCTGTTTTCTCCTTAAGAAACTGTGGGCAACATAGGAGACACATTATTTGCTATTCTGATGTTGTTGTGAGAAGGTGCTAATCTACTCCTTTGTTACACTAGCTGTTAGATAAGTTCCACACAAAGCAAACTAAACAGTAATCACTTCCAAACTTTGCTTCATTTCTGACCTTACTTAGCACCTATTCCCTTGTGAGTGGTATCACAGAAACTTTTAATCAATCAGATGACTTGGATTCCAAAGCCACATGAATGGGGTGGGATCTGGGGAGAAATTCGGGGAGCATTCCCTTGAGTGGCGGAGTGGGACAACTTAACAGCAAGTTGGAAATCAGTTTCTTCCCGGGAGAGTGCTACAGAGTGGGAAAGATGTCCTCCCTCACAAGACATTACCTCCTTCCCATGCAATGTGTGTACTTTTACTCTGCCAAAATATCTACAAAGAGCTCTTGAGCTCTGCGTTTTAAAAGGTCCCCTCCAGTAAATTCAACCAAACTCATCCAATAGCTGAACTCTAAGCTCACACAGCGAAGACAAAGCATGGTGGCATCTCGCCTTGCAGACGGGCTTTGCGTCTAAGGAGGAGGATGGCTTTGTTTGTAGAAAAGTTTACATCAACGTAAAGAGTTTCCTCATGGCTGTTGCCCATCTGGCTGCTGGCTACAGCCTGCCTCCCTGTTCCATGACTCCCTCCTTACCAGGGACTCTGTGGAGGACCCACACCAGCCTTCTTCTACCCCTCTGCAAGCTTCTAAACCTCAGCTTTGAGCTCGCTGCTCTCCAGGTAACTTACCCACCTGCAGAAATGCCCTACAAATATCTTGTATGCCATTTAGAAGGGAGAACCTAGATATTGTTTGTTTTTATGCATGTCCGAGTTCCCTAAACTGCATCGGGATACAATCCTATTATCACATTCAGAAATCCTGATAAAACATCTGTTTTAAATAGGAAGTCCAACAAACTTCCTCTGTTGGCTTGGGCTTGTACTCCTTGTTTTGGATTGAGCTCAGCTAATTAAAAATACTTCCGATAATCAGTTCTGTCATTTGTTCCAGAAAACTTTTGAACCAGATGATATCATCTCTCTTGGGGTTTCATAATCATTGAGCCCTTTATTTGATTCCTTCCCAAAAACAGTACTTCCTCCACCATCACCAGCCCAAATAAGCCCATCGTCTCTCTAGGTTATAGGAGTCACCAATAATTATTACTAATCACTTATTTTTCAGGCAAGCCAGTCTTTACCTCTAGCACTGAATGTTACTCCCAGAACAAGCAAATTTGAACTGCTTCCCTCAAATATAACATTATCTATAAATAAAAGCAAAACGATGGGAACATATGTAAATTTTGAGCCCCCTGTGCCCAGGTTTTACTCTTCCAGGCACACAGACTAAATGTTTAAACCTATCTTTAAATTTAGAACGGTCAGGGTAAGGGTGCTGGAGAGACAGCTCAGCAGTTAAGAGTGCTTACTGCTCTTGTAGGAGACCTGGATTTAATTCCCAGCACCCACATGCTGGCTCTTAACCACCTGTTACTC